GCGATACGGGGCATGGTGCTGCGGGGCTGTGTCAGGGCTATATGCGCTGACCCTCATGTATGGGCATGCGATCGGTCCTGTGGCGCCAACAATGTGCGTTATGTGTGTGATATGGACGAGTTGTGACTATGAGTGCCTTGGGATGTGACTGTGGGTCTCATATTGGGGATTGTTTATGATGGGTTATGATTATTGTTTATGCTTTGCCTTATCTGCCTTATCTATTGTGAACTGCATATGCTCGTTATAACTGTTGCTTGTGTCTGGCCTTATCTGTCAAGGCATTCCCGGTTTTTAAGCTAGAGTTCGTAGGATATATCTTCATGCTCAAAATGGTTTTCATATATCTATATATATCTCTATATGTATTGTATTTCAACGCGTTGGAGTGGGTTACCAGCATCTCTCGCTGAACAGATATATTTGGCTTTCAGGCACAGAGGACTAGGGCACTGGAGCGCGCTAGAATTGGAGCGTAGCAGTAGAGTAGTTTCCCTTTCGGCCTGCGTGCCATATTATGCATTATGTTTCAATGGATATTAGCTAGACCGCCTATGCACTTGGGTTCTCTAGCCCAGGTGTGGCATAGCACCCCATACACTTATGAGATACTTGGGATGTAATGAGATATTACCTTTATTATGTAAGTTTAAAATGTCTTGAAAATCTGGGGTGTTACAGTTGGTATCAGAGCCTAAGTTTGACCCTAGGAAAAGACTCTTAAGACCGGACTCTAGGACGTTAGGCTTGAACTCTAAGTACCTAGGAACGTAGGACTCAGGAATCTTAGGACGCGCGGTAAGATTGTGAAACCTACACATAACTTCCATACACGTTGCCCTTCCCCATTCTAAAACCCTTCCCCACTTATCACTTCACCAGAAGTGCGTCTAACTTAACATTCTTGTAAACACTGACCGAAGGATCTTCTTGAAAACTCTTTCATCTGTAAACGGTTCCCCAAGTACTGATGCTCTATTCATCAAATTCTGAACACGACTGTGGAAGTTAGATACACTTTCTTCTTCACTCATCCTGAGAGCTTCAAATTCTGATAGGACCATCTAGAGCTTTGACTGTTTGACATCACTGGTGCCCTCAAATCTGGTTTCAAGGATTCCCCATACACGTTTTGCCTCTTTTATTCCTGTAACCAAAGTGAAGACTGATCCATGTAGAGATCCTACAATAGAATTCAGTGCTTTATTATTCAGATCAGAGGACGACATTTCATCTTCAGTCCAAGTCTCTATTAGTTTGATCCCAGCGGTTCCATCAGCATTCTGGACTGTCGGAGGGCTCCATCCAGTGAGGATAGTATGGTAAACTCTGGTGCCTTGAGCTTGAAGGTAAATCTCCATTCGAGCCTTCCAGAAAGAATAGTTGTGACCATCCAATTCTGGTGGTTTCATATTTGCATCCATCTTGATCCAAACAGACGACCAGCCAGAACTCACAAGCAGAGAGTAGTCCAAATCTCAACAGACAACCAAGCAAACAGCTTCTTAAAGAAAGAAAAAAATGCAAAAAGTTTTTCCCTTATGGATCAAGTCATTATGTAGACTTAAAAGCTCTGATACCACATGAAATTTTGCATATTCTCTTAAATTGGAATTATTGATTTAGTTTCTTGCAAACTGAATAGGTGACTGACAAACTCATATACACAATCAAGCAGTCATTCAGATAGATACGCAGATATTATGTAATGCTGAAAACTAAGGCAGAAAGTAATTCAACACATATGTTTGTTTACCCAATTCAATACAGTGTGTATCTACATCTGGGGTACGATCACCGATGCGTCCAATCCACTAACTCAGAATCCAATGTACAAAGGTAGAGAAGAACAATCTCACCCAAGTGCCCCACACAAGGTCAGTACCTAGTCTACAAAGGTTTAGTGGATTGTTGAAGTCGGAGAGTCACGCATTCAGAAGTCCAATGAAATCCCTTCAATTGGAGAGCTAACTCTGATGCAGTCCGCTTCAATGGCGCAGTCCCACGTTGTTCCCACAACTGAGTGATCTTCGCGTCCAATCGGTTAAGTAGTGTTGACACTTCTCAAGTTCTTCTTCGTAATCACCATGAACTTATTGTTTTGAGAAGAGCCATGACAACCAGAGATGTGTATTTTGTTTAGTATAGAGTGTTGCAGCTTCAATCAATGCAACCCTAACTTCACTACTAGAATGTTAACATTTAGCGACGTTTTTTAAACGTCACAAAAAATTTAAAAAAAAAAAACGTAAGTAAATGTATTTACTGACGAAAAAAAAAAGCGTCGCCCGGACCGTCGGGTTAGCGACGTATGGAAAGGTATTACTGACGAAGTTATGTTTTCGTCACTAAATATTACTATTACCGACGTTTTTACTTGGCCTTGATAATGTCATGGAATACACACATTTTGATACGAAAGATTAACAAAAACGTCAGTAATAGATTATGACGAAATAAAATATTTCGTCAGAAAATGTTTCTTTTACTGACGTTTTTCATAAAATGAAGTTGTCATGAATAAATTTAATTGGCGACGAAAATTGAAATGAAATATCAATTTGTCAATAAAAATACATTTACTGACGTTTTTTTTTTTTGTATTTGTAATCATCACTAAATTTTATATTTAGAGATATTTATAATTTTTTAAATAATTAATGGTAATTTACATGTAGTTGTAACTAAAAATATTTACACAACAATTTCATGTAATTGAAATAAAATATTTTAACATCAATTAAAATTTCAAAATAGTGCAATATTTTTCAAAATAGTACAATATTGAATTACAAGAATCTAATGTGATATAAATATTTCTTTAAATAAGTTGGTCAAACTAGACATGAGAATATATGTAATTCTATGCACATAAAGATAGATAATAATTCTCATGTTTATCAAAATTATTGAGGTCGGCACTTTGGAAGTCATTTGTCTTGAGGAGAAGGTCCGATCTGATGTCAAGATATGCAATAATTCCCTGCCATTAAAAACATAGATGTTTTTGAAGCATGAATAATAAATTATTCAAAACTATATATTCAACTCAATCCGATAGTTGATTTGCATCACTTTTATACTTTCTTGTGCTTATATTTAATTTCTAACGTAACTTTCCTTTGCTAATATTTCATTAGTTGCTTATAGCATGTAATCGTATTTTATTCCACTAGTCTACTGCCCAAAACTACAATTTATATAAATAAATGTTAAATAAAGTTCCAAACTATGGGTTATACCTTCAAATTTTGGTATGCTCCTAATTGACATCATTAATTAAGTTGTAAAAACTTAGTACATACCCATGAAGACCTCTACAAGATCAAATCCAAGCTAACTCATTGTAGAATCTCCACGTTTAGAAGTATCCAACTTTTAGGAACACCTGCAAGCTAAGTGATAAGAAAATTTTAATTTTCTCTTTGAAAAGTTTATATTCTTCTGACAAACATTTCTTGGGATAGCAAAGGGAAAACAAGTATTCTCATGGCAAACATTGTTAAAAAAAAAAAAAAAATTCAAATGTTAAACATTACGCCTATAAGTTCTAGCAAAATGTCAAAAGAGAATCCAAAGCTAATATGTTAAACTTAAAACCTGAAGTTTAAAGACAAAACTTGCTAAATAAAAAATAAAAAAAAAATCAGGAGAAAATCACTATAAAAGTTTAGATATCAAGTTATTTCATCCATAGCAATATGTACCTTGTTGTAGATCAAGTTGCAATCCTGATGCTGCCATATATATACTTCACCTCAAATTTATAATTTTAATTTCCTAAGAAATAAGAACACCACAATTATGATCAAACAAAAATTAAGAAATAAAACTAAAAGCAAACCGCATAAAAATATTAGAATACCATTGAAAGGAACTTAGTGTAAACAACAACAAAAAATCAGTAGCAATGTACTTTACCTTGTAATTCACAAAAAATATCATCTATCTCATTAATCTGAAAAGAGATTACAAATTCACCTCACAAAAAATGTCATCCATTATATCACTCCAAAAATACACCCTGAGTATGTACGCTCCTGCTGTGAAGCTAGCCTGAAGCGCCTTCAAGTTGACTACACTGATCTTTGCTATGTACATCGTATTGACACAACTGTGCCTATTGAGGAAACTATGAGAGAACTGAGGAAATTAGTTGAAGAAGGTAAATTAAAGTATGTTGGGCTATCTGAAGCTCACCCAGACACAATAACGATGGCACATGTTGTTCATCCTATCACTGCTCTACAACAGGAGTATTCCCTATGGACTCGTGACATTGAGGAAGACATATTCCTCTTTGTAGGTCTCTTAAATTTACAGGGAACTTGGAATTGGGGTTGTTTCATACGGCCCTGTTGGCCGTGGACTTTTTGGTGGAAAGGCTGTTGTGGAGAGCTTGCCAGCTAGCAGTTTCCTGGGAACACAACTACTCAACTTGCTATTGCTTGGGTTCTTAATCAGGGTGATGACTTTGTACCCATTCCCGGAACAACTAAGATGAAAAACCTTCAGGATAACATTGATTCTGTGAAGGTGAAGCTCACTAATGATCCAACAGAACAAGAAACCACAATCAATTCATATATTGTCATACTGTGTCCAAGAACCATGAAACACATTGTATAGAAATAAATATATAGACTTAGTCTAGAAGCATACCACATGAATCATTAATCTTTTTTGCCATTTCATTGATTTCCTTATCAGCTTTCTTTATGCTTGTTGAATAAGGTCTCAGACCTGCAGAAATCATTTAAATACCAAAGCTAGTTACTAAAGCAATTTAATGAAACACAAGGATATTAAAACAACTTTACTGAGGGAAAATACTTCTATAGTACACCAAATTTAGAAATTCAGCAATTTGATAGAGTGAGAGATTTCCAATGAAATATTTTTAATATTGATTCATTGATAAAAACCTCTCTGATATTGAACTATCGAAGCAACACCTCAAGTAAATGCTTATATAGTATCTAAATAATAAATATTGGACTACTTGACTACACTAATGGGTTCAACAGGATGAGTTCTACATTGAAATGGTCTCTACAGAAGCAACAATCCCAGAGTTAGGGCAGAGGCTTTACTGTTGGAGCAAGAAGATTTGCCCGGTGATAACGATGAGGACATACCTCACTTTTAAGATGTTGAAGCATTGGTGAGAAAAGGTTATATCTTCCCAGGGATAGGATTTTATCTATGAATTCAATACTAATGTGCTTTTTGCAGATCTTTAACATGGACCTGAGCCCCGATGACAAAGACATCTGCTTTCATAAGGAATGTAGGTCTCAATTTATTCTCATTTGGTCATTAATGTTTGCCCCTTTATTCTTGACAGAGGATTTGCTGATTTAGTCATATCAAAGTTCATGATCCACTGTTTTTTGTTCTCTCAACTTGTAGTTGCAAAATATCAACACCAGCAGACTAAAAAAACAATCAATGAGACTGCAGTGGGGTGCCGAAGCTCATATACAAAGAGTGATTGCAGCTCAAGGAACATCTGCTGTTTTATATAGCAGCCACTCAATCATTTAATTAAAAAAAAAACAGAGGTATTATAGTTTTTTGACTTTTCTCTAATCATATGATAATGTATACCTATTGCTTGAACAAGCTTCTCTAGATGTCATCGGTTATTTAAAAATATCATGTAGCAGACCACCTAAAATACTTGCAACATCAATACATCATCCCCTAACCTCACATCAAAACCAACATCCAGCCTCACCTCAAAATCACCTGCAAAAACCCAAATCCTACCCCAAAATCTGCTACATCCTACAACCAAAACTACAGGATGTATCAATACCCTAGGTTACAATAATTCCACCCAAAGAAGACTTAGCTACCAGCTCAAATTTTGCATATGAGACACCAAATCATGGGAAAAGGGAACTCTTAAATTTCTAAACTCATCACCTACGTATGAATAATTAATAAAAAAAAATTTAAATATATATAATAAAAAACAAATCACATCTGAGCGGATGCTGTAAGCTTCAAATCTGAGCGGCGGCTGTAAGCTTCAAATCTGAGCGGCTGTTGTAAGCTTCAAAAAAAAAAAAAAAAAAAAAAAAAAAAAACTAGAGAGAAAGTTATTAGTTGATTAGGGTTTGTATTTACCTAGACATGAATCAAATCTAAAGTAACTAACCTGATGCGGCTGCTGTAAGATTCAAAAGCTCATCCATCTTAGAGAAAGTAGTGAACCATTGGCTTAGAGGATGATCTTGTTGCGGTGGAAACGGTGGTGCAAAGAGATGCATGTGAAACCATAATAAAACATTTAGGGACGTTTATTATAAAACATCATTGAATCTATATCTTTACTGACAAAATAATTATATTTCGTCAGTAAATATTTCAAAATTATTCACTGCCTTTACCAAAATATATAGTGACGTTATTTAATATAACGTCGCAATTTGTTATATTTAGCGACGTTTTTTAGAGTGTCGTTAAAATTTTCGTCGGGAAATGCAAGATTTCTTGTAGTGCTTCTGAACGAATAAGTATATTTATACTTCTTGATTTCGACACTCTCCAAATATATCTCTGGTTGTAGATGGTAGGACCTTTTGTGAAGAAGAAAATCTTAAGATTCGGTCCATACCTCACAAGATGATTCGCTAATATTCTTTCCAAAATCATCATCTCATAACCGCGTACCAGCTTTTAGAAACTTTCCTTTATCAGTCCTTCGGTGGCTTGATCTAGAGGTGTGTGTATTGACTTCACTGATCAATCAGTCTTCTTCAAGACGGACAGACACCAAGCTAAACCCTATCTTAATTTGCCATAATAATATTGTCAATTATATGTTGGGGTTTTTCTTAAAGAAATAAAACACTAACACCCTTCAAGCTTTGCCCTATTCTGATTGAAACTAGATTCAACAATATTAGCTTTAGAATTTCCAGAATAGGTAACCAACCTATTTTCACGAATTGAGGCTTCAATGTTGATGGATTTCACCAACTCTTCCAACGTGATACCCTTTGAATTATGCTTCATTTTGTTTTGGAAACTTTCCCAGGAATCAGGCAATTTCTCTATTAAAGCATCACATAGAAATGTATCATTTACCTGGGTACCTTCTGAAAGCATATCTGTTACCAGATTTTCGTACTCATGAACTTGCTCCAACATTGGCTTCGAGTCTGTCATTTTGAAATTAAGCCATCGTGCAACAGCATATTTGCGACGCCCGGCATCATCAGAACCATCCTTATTTTGTAGGAAATCTCAGATTGTTCTTGCATACCTTTGTTTGGAGTAGATGTCAAAAATGGAATCTATCATATTCTGCAGCAGGGTTACACAAACATATTTGTTGTCCTTGTCGTACTTGTTGCGAATTTCATCAGTGATTGCAGTATCTTTTGCAGAAGATACGTCAGTAGCGGTGCCCTTGTCCACAGCACTCTTATCGAAAGCAGCAGACCGCGGGTCCGAGCTCTGAACAAGAGTCGTCGTAGGCTGCTGCGTTGAGATTGACGAAGGTACGAGATATTTGGACGGGTCCTGAAACAGCACGTAGTCCGTCTCAGTCTGCTCGAAATGCATGAATATCTTTGCAGACCACCTGCGAAAGTTCAAGCCATTGAGTGGCTCAAGCTTGGCAAGATCAACGGCGGGCTTGGAGATAAGAGAAGACATTGCCATTGGGATTGCTTTTAACGGTTATATTTTGGGTGTGAACAATGTCTGTGAAACTGATAGGAAGATTTTAATAGGGAAAATTCTGCATTGTGTCGTGTTCGTGGGAACACTCCCTTAAAAGCAATTCCCGACCCCGCGATTTCTTTCGACTGGTAACACAGCCTCACTAGCTTGCACACAAGCTGTTAATATAGCTCAAACAAACATGTATGAACGCAGCAATTTGGATGTTTAACAATTTGGATGAATAGTATAGGAAGCAACAAAAAGAAAATTGGCAGATGATTAATGCACAATGAGAGGCTTTTTATAGTGTAGAGGTGCAACAAATCTCACCTCAAAATGACGTTAGTGGAAGTAATGGCGCAGCAAAATTAGGAGATCAAGACTGAAGGCTATAAAGTTATTCTTTGGACAAGGAAGCAGTCTTTCCAAAAAAAAAATAAAAAATAGGAGTAATAAATATTTGCTTTTAAACAATATATTTGGATAACCATTACTAGTAGGCCAAATATTATTTGCATGCTACTTTTCTATTAATGTATTCCAACATACCGTTGGACGTTGCACATGGCAACGTCGTTGGCGTTGCGACCAGGAGAGACGGCGACGGCAAAGCTGAGTTTCCGGCGGTGGCGTCATCGCTGCTTCTCTTCTTCTTCTTCAGGCGACGGAGCTTGGAGTTGCAGCGACCATGAGAGACGGCGGACGGTGAGCGACGTCTTGAATGAGGGAGACGACGAATGGCGACGGCAAGGAATCGGCTTCGGCCGGCTTCTTTTCTCTCCATACAGTTGCGTCTCCCTGCCCCTTTTTTCTTCAGTCGCATCTGTCTCTCTTTCTCTCTGTTTGGCTGAGAAGAAGTGATATTAAAATGCCACAATATATTGTCTTTTAGTAATAGTACTTTTCTATTTCAAAACATTTAGAACAAGAATGTGTATATTCTATTATTATTACACATATCCTTTCAAAATTTGGATTCTATACAAAATTTATAGCATACTTTGGAAAAGTAGCAACAAAAAAATTATATTCTTCACTGGTGGGTGTATGCTTTCCAATCTTTACTTCTGTTTTCCGTGTCCAGCGTCCAACGGTAAACACCGCCACCACCCACCTCTGCCATCTCTAGCTTCGCCACCAACGGATACCGTAACCGGCAAAAAATCCGGTGATTTTTCCAGTGAACAAGTAGCAAGGCAATAGGATTATTTTACGGTGGCTCAGCGGTGAACGCGAAGAAGAAGAAACACATAACTTTCCAATTTTTTTAAAAACGTAAAAAGACCATTTTGCCCTTATGAATAAAAAAATTAAAAAGGTTTAAGTTTTTCCAGCCACATTTGGCCGGGAGGACCAAATCTGTTAGAAAAACATAGTTAAAAGACTAAATTGTTAGTTTTAAAAATCACGGGCCAAAATTAACAGGCCCCCTATAGTCATTGGACCAAAAGTGTAATTTGCTATATATATATATATATATATATATATATATATATATATATATATATATATATATATATATAGAATCGTACTCAGGTGCGAATGCTTCGCCCAGGCGCGAAATAGGAATGAATTCTGTTCGTCCACGTGTCCAGATCTAATGGATGAGAAACACTGATTTTTTTTAAAAACACGGTGGCATTTTCGTAAATAATTGAGCATCGAAGTGCAAGTAAAATGTATTACAAGTGCATGTAAAATGTATTATAGGTGCAAGTAAAAATTTACACTGAGCATCAATACTCAGTTGCACCTATAGTTCTAAGTAGTTGCACCTATAGTTCTAAGTAGTTGCACCTATAGTTCTAAGTAGTTGCACACATAGTTATAAGTAGTTGCACCTAGGTGTATGAATGTTTGCGAGTGGTTTTCAGGGGTATTACTACCCGCTGAACTCAGATCAATGAATGTTAACAAGGCAAAATTACATGCACTTATAGGTGAAAGTAGGTGCACCTATAGTTATAAGTAGTTGCACCTATAGTTATAAATAGTGCACTTGTAAGTGATTTTACTTGCACTTCAATGTTCAATTATTTACGAAAATGCCACCGCTTTTTTTTTAAGTTATTAGATCTGGACACGTGTCACGCGCTGATTCATTCGCATTTCCCTCCTGAGCACTTATTCGCACCTGAGTGCATCCCTATATATATATATAAAGCATAATCCTAGCTACAAGGTTTTCCCTCCAAAACTTTAGCAATGGGATAGGTTTGGCCCAAAATTTTTAAAAAATGTAATTTTATACAATGTTGCAAAACACGCTAGGCGCCCCCTAGGTGCCAAGGGGGCGCCTAGGCGCCGATTTTTTTTTATTATTATTTTTTATTTTTTTAATTAAAAATTAAATTAAAAATTAAATTTTTTTAAAATTTAGTAATAAAACATAAGGTTTCCATAGTTATTTCTTAGAAATTATTTACGAAAGTGGTTGTAAAACTGTTCAAAAGATTGTTTAAACCATCAAAATATATAAAAAAAAAAAAAAACTAAAATTAAGAGCTAAAGAAGAATTTTTTTGAGAAATTAGTGGACCAAACCGCCTTTGGCGGTTTGCGGTGGATAGATCTCGAAAAAATACGCGATTTGAAAAAAAAATTGTCCAAAATGGACAACCGAGTCAAAAGTTATGCCTTCCCGAAGTTTTCGCAATTTAAAACGCAAAAGAAAAAAAAAAAATTAAAAGCGCGGGGCAATGGCGCCTAGGCGCGATTTTTGCAACATTGATTATATATATATATATATATATATATATATATATATATATATATATATATATATATATATATATATATATATATATATATATATATATATATATATATATATATAT